GTGGTATCGGAATGAAGCATCGAGGCCGTTTGGGACCAGCTGCTCTTGTGGGAGTTGGCACGGCCGTGGTGCCCTGTGACGATGAGGATGACGATCAGGTTGCTGTCGCTGCAGTCACAAGTGGCACAGGAGAGCATATGGCTACTACCATGGCCTCCCAGCGATGTGCGGAAAGGATTTACCATGGCACAAGACGTGGGAAAGGAGGCGCCAACATTCAGGACGACGATGAAGATGCCATCATGGAGTCTTTCATTGCTGAGGACTTCATGAAGCATCCCGGTGTCAAGAATTGCCATTCAGCAGGTGCCATTGGTGTCATGGTGGTCAAGAAGACGCCTTCAGGCTACTATTTCTACTTTGCTCACAACACAGATTCCTTTGCCCTCGCTTCAATGGGAGGTTCGGAAAGACAGCCCGTCTGTACGATGTCTAGACTTTCTCATGGCGCCAAGATCGCCAAGGGTGGACGTAAAGTCAGGTTCGAGTAAGGTGCACCATTGTACAAAAATAGCAAAGGGTTGGCGATGCTGATGTGAACTGAGCTGCTGCTCAAGTTGTTGAGAGGTTGTGCTATCCGCACCTAGAAGTGCAATGATCGATTAGAATACTCTTATGCATTAGATTCAAGTGATAGCCTTTGGAGCATAGCCCTACGCCCGCTGTTTAGTCTGATCACTTTAATATTGATATCCACAGACTTTCAACTCCAGAGAAGTATGCGTTGACTGTAGCATTATCTGATACCTGGCTAATTTCCTTAACGCCGTGAGACTATATGTACATTGGTCATCAAGGGTATATCCCGTTCTTCGCCCCTGTGCCTCAAGCGATTTGCTGGTTCATTCATGGACGGGGTGTCCCTGTCGCACTCCCTGTCTCTTCCCGTGATCCGCCTCCATTGACGATCTTGCGCTTCTTTTTCTTTTTCCTTGGTACGACGGCGGGTTTCGCGCCATAGTTACCCAGAGATAGTTTGGTGCCACACGTGAAACATTCCGAGTTCTCTGGCGTCTCACAGAAGATGCTCAGACAGATGGAGCAGACGAAGCCTGTGTCCACAACTCGGCCGTGGCAAAAACAGGCGGCGCGGAAATCGACGGTGTCGTGTGTTGGGGCGATGAGAGCTTCACGAGCTTCTGTGTCTGCGATAAGACCGAACATCAGATAGTTGAGTAGTCCTTGGGGATGTGTAGCAGCGAGGTATGTGCCACCGGTGTTGTAGCAAGCCTGTTGTAGGAAAGTTGGCTCGCCAGTAAGAGAGAGAGTATCGATGGCGACTTGGTTGTGGCCAGCAGCGAAGACAGCGTTCATGGTGGGAATGTATTGCGAGGGTTCTGAATCGGAGACAGAAATGACCAGGATTCGGCCTCGAACAGTTGGGGGAGCAGTATTCGACGAGCCTTTGTGGCTGTCCTCGAGATTAGCCGTAGGCGCACAAAGTGCCTGCGCAGCTTTATTGATATGACATAGCGCCAGCGTCAAGGCTCCAGAGATTTGTGTCGTCGTAGCAGAGAGATCCTCCTCCTTTGTCTGATCCATGAGTTTTCGAATCGCAGCCAAAACAGCAGCTTCAATCTGTGCAAACTGTGGGAACTTGTTCGCTGAGGTTTGCGCTTGCGCAGCAGCAGCATCGTTCATGGCAACATCGCCAGAGGCGTCGCGTGAGGGTGTGGGAGGCGTTGGGTAGAGCCATTCTGCGCGATCAACGTGCGCGGCGATAAGCGCAACCTGGTTTGCGTTGCTGAAGGCGAGATGGGCGTTAACGAAGACGAGGATGTTTGCTATAGCACGCGACAGGGGAAGGACATTGTTGAGCGATGCCCAGGCTCGGGGGTTTGTATCGAGGACGATGGTAAGAAGCGAGGGAGTCTCTTCGCGGGTGCCGACCTCGTAGTGCTCTGAAACATCGACGGCGTCCATTGTGAGGATGTTGACGCTGTGAAGATGCTGGTGGGGAGGCGGCTACGAGGCCCTTAGAGTGGTTGAGCTGCCTTGGTGGCCTTACTTGAGGACTGAGGCTACAATACCTGAGGCTGTCGCAAAGTTGTCGGATTCAAGACAAACCTAAGGTGAGTTAAAGAAGATGGACGGGTACGAGCGTTGCATTTATCGCATGATTAGTTGATAGCCAAAAACGCCAAAATAACAATAATAATTAACGCCAAACTCAATTGCAGCAGTTACTAAAAGAGCCTTGTTTGTTTCTTTTCTTTAGATACTTTGTTCTTGGACGCGGCTATCATAGATGGAAGGGAAAATCTGATCCAATTGTTGGTTAGACGTCATCTACAGGCATAATCCAATGGAATGGATATGAGCGCGGCTGCTGGCACCAATAGGCCCCTACAGCAAACCCCCTAGCTCAGCTCTCCAAACGCCTGGCCACGTGATGGCCAACTAAAACGCTTCAAGCGTCAGTGATCTTTGATCTAACGTTTAGTGGCTCAAGCCCAAGCCCAGTCTCACGAGCTCTTTTGTGGTAGGTTGTGGTTGTGGTGGAGGCCGTGACGGGTCTTCTTGCCTTGTGCGCTTTACGATTTACATCACAAGTTCCAGTTTCGGTCTCTTCTCACCTTTACTTCCTTAACTAGCACCTTAAAGAACTGGCTTCTTATTTACTTTCTCTCTCTCACCTACCTACACATTCGATCAATAAATATTCCATGGCAGAACCTACAGAAGCTGCTTCTCAGGTGCCTCCAGCCCAGTCGCTGGAGGACCAGACCCTTATCGTCTTTGCGCGCCTCATGGAGGGCGGACAGGAAGATAACGAGACATGTCGCGACCTCGATGAACTGACTAAGCTGCTCAACGACGACTATGAAGCCCGCCAGAAGGACAAGTCTCGTGAGACTATTTGCAATGTTATCGATGGCGACTGTGTTGACACCGTTTTGTGCTATCTTGATATGAGACAGCCTGAGATAGTACGCGGCCACGCCACTCTCTCAACATCCGCATATCTCAAAGCCGCTGGCGATGATGGTTCAAAGAAGCTCTCGACTTTCTTCTTTGACCGTGTGCGAAGGGGAACTTATGACGATTACATTGTTGCCTTTTGTGTCGCCGCTGCGACATTTCCCATTGTCCCTGATCTCACTGCCCAGCTATTTCTCAACGAAGACTTCCTACCCAGCCTCGGCACACTTATGCGACGAAAATGGAAGAGCCGCAAGGTCGAGACGGCCTGCTTGGAGATGCTCAACGCTGCTTGCATGAACTCACTTTGCCGCGAGGCTATCAACAAGTACTGCATCGAGTGGCTTGAGGAGATCGTCGACCAAGACCTTAGTGAGGCTGTTCGTAGCATGAACGCAGATCCAAACCTTCAAAGCGATGGAGGCTCCATTTCAATGAGGCGGCACTCTGAACAGGTCCAGTATCTTGCCGCAGTCATCCTGGCCAAGCTGAGGGTGAGATAAGATGCCTATGAACTCTGTATTATCACTGACTGACCCAGCTTTCAAGGCAGTTCCCGCTAAACCAGCACCCGGCGATAACAAGTCTCGAATCGAGCCTGCAGTCACTAGTATCGAAGATCTCTCTGGAATGTTCACTAAGATGATACTGAGAGATGAAGATCACGGGCGAAAGCACTCTATCGAAGGTCTCGCATACGCCTCCCTTCAACCTAAAGTCAAGGAGTCTATTGTCAGCAACCCCGAGTTGCTCCAGAAGTTGGTCAAGACTCTTAAAGAAGCCCAGCCAAGATCGCCAACTACTTATGGGGCTTTAAGCATCTTTGTCAATCTGACCAAATACCTGCCCACCCTGACAGAGGAAGAAAAGAAGATGAACCAGCTCAAGGCATATGCCAATGCTGCCGGGAAGCTTGGCGGGCCCGACCCCCTTAATGACGACGAGCATGTCGCAAAGCGATGTAAGCTGGTGTTTGATGCAGGTATCACACCGGTTCTCGTCACTCACAGTAAGAATGGCTCGCCCGCTTCTCTAGGACTTGTTATCTCCATTATTTTCTCCCTTTCAGTCGACAGGACTCTCCGTGGTCAGCTCGCTCAGCAAGGAGCGGTCAAGCTTCTCCTGGTATCATGGATGTCCCTGCCTCAAACTGAAGCTGCTTCACGTCGTCTTGCAGCACAAGCCCTGGCCCGCATCTTGATCAGCACAAACCCTGCACTGGTCTTTGGTGGCAACCGTGACACCCCCATCATTGCTGCTGTCAGACCGCTTGTCTCTATCATCCCACCCGACCCTGCTGCTCAGACACGGGACCTCCTCCCTTCCTTCGAGGCACTTATGGCCTTGACCAACCTCGCGTCGATGGATGACGATGCGACTAGACGCAGTATCATCAATACAGCATGGAACCAGATTGAGGAACAGATGCTGGCTTCCAACACTCTTGTCTCCAAGGCTGCTGTCGAGCTTGTTTGCAATCTGGTGCAGCAACCAGAGGCTATCGCACTCTATGCTGAAGAGACTGCCAAGGCCCGTAATCGCCTGAACGTCCTCCTCGCCCTTGCTGATGCGCCTGATGATGGAATTCGAAGTGCAGCTGGCGGTGCTTTAGCTTCACTCACCAACTTTGAGGGTGTCATCCGGGGCATTATTAACCGAGACCGCGGTGTGAAAGTTATCCTCGGAATGTGTGTCGATGACAGCGAGGACATCCGTCACCGTGGAGTGTTTGTGGTAAACAACTTGGTCACTGCAGAGGGCGAGGTCGGTGAGCTCGCGCGAGAGAAGGTCAAGAGCGAGGGTGGAGTTGAAACTCTTACAGAATGTGTTAAGAAGAGTCGAGGCCCTGGCGTTGTCGAGCTGGGAGTTCAAGCTTTAAAGGCTCTGTTAGGAGATCAATCATGAATGAAGAATGACGAAGAAACATATACATTGTTGTAAAGGCGGCGCAGATCAGCATTTTTTAGGTTGCGGAATGAGGCAGCGGGTTCTCAAGTTTACAATGATTATGACTATGGCAATGAGATCTATCATGTTTTTCTTTGACCCAACCCAAACAAACGCCGTGTACTTTTATTTTATGCCGTGTTATCGACCCTGTTGAGAATAGCAACGCCCTCTACATGACCTGTTTGAGGAAAGAAATCAAATCCTCGAAGACTCTCAATCTCGTATCTCTCGCCCTCGCCTTCACCGCGAACGAGCACACCAACATCTCTGGCCTGTGTATGCACGTTACAGCTGACATACAGAACTCGCCGAGGACCGAATTTTCGTAGCTGGTTCAAGAAGTCTGCATCGCAGCCCTTACGAGGAGGATCAAGAACCACAACGGTCTCATCACGGTTGTAGGCAACGCTCTTGAAGAGTTCACCAGCATCAGCAGCGATGAACTTGCAGCGATCCTCCCCCATACCGTTGAGGGCTGCGTTGCGGCTTGCGTAGGCGATGGAGTCAGCTGCAATGTCGATACCGATGGAGTGTTGGAAGAGCGATGCGAGAGTAACGGTAAAGAGGCCAGAGCCTGAGTAGGCGTCGATTAGATACTTGATGTCCATGCCCGTGCCGGCAGGAGGGAGAATATTGTCTCGCACGTAGCCGGTAAATGAGGGAAGAATCGAGTTATTGTTCTGGAAGAAAGAGCCAGCTGGGTTGGTGAAGGTGTAAGGGCCGATGTATTCTGTTGTGGTGGCCTTGGAATCAGTGAAGCAGGACTTGATGTCGACAGTATCCTCATTCTCAACACGGACTGTGTAGGGTTCTGTTTCACCCTTGGCCTCTTCGCTGTCCTTGGGGACTCGCTTCGTGTTCTCTCGGAGAAGAATCGTAGCACCACGCTGATAGTTGGCAAACTCTTTCTGCATGCGCTCACGCTCTCGTGCCATACCCAGACGCACAGCATTGGTACCAATAGGGCAATCCTCAATATCCAAAACTTTTCGACGACCCTTTTGCATGAATCCAATATCAGGGCACTTCTCGAAGGGAATTCTGGGGTTCTTTCCTCTCTTGCTGGGTCGGAATCCAGGGGGTCCGTCAAAGTGAGGTGTGAGCTTGGTGCGGTAGTTGTACTGCAGAGGACTGCCCATTGTATCCTGGACAGCGGGGACAATGTTAGGATCGAGGTTTGAGAAATTCTTGAAGGCTTTCTCGACAATGCGCTTCTTGAGTTTGAGTTGCTCGGGGTATTCGAGCATCTGGAATTGGCAGCCACCGCATGAGGCGAAGTACTTGCAGCTGATCCGGGCGTCGTCGCGAAGAGGAGAGGGCTTTGTGATGGAGATGAAATCGGCGAGGGTTTGGGTTTCGCGACGAAGATGACGGAAGACCTTGACCTTTGCAGTGTCGCCAGGGACTGTGAAGGACACAACATAGACCTGATTTGAACCAGGCTTCATACCGAGGCCGTCACCTGTAGACGAAAGCTCCAGAATCTCAACCTCTGTCTCAGTGCCTTCCTCTGGGAGAACTTCTGGGCCGTGCTCTGTTCCCTCGCCATACTCAACAGCTCGCTCCTTAAGGAGGGCCTGAATATCGTGCTTGAGGACTTCCTCAGATGAACCTTCGGTGATGTTCTTTTCCCTCTTCGTCTTCTTCTGCTTCCATTGGCGATTATTCTGCTGGTTTGGTCTCTTGTTAATTTGCTGGGCCTTGCCGTTTACTTGTGAGTTGCCGTTTGGCATAGCTTCTGCTTGTGTGCTCGCCATGACTGTGAAGGAACGGAAATTGTGCAGGCGAGGTTTGATGAATGTGGCCAAAGGTGGGAGTCTCAGACGCCTCATGAACGAGCAATTCGATTGGTCTAATTGCTCTGTGAGCAGAGTGAGATTTTGGGAGGGAATTGTAAATGTTTGAGATGTTGATAATGACAAAGATTTCTTAAAGATGAGAATGAGACGAAGAAATGTTTCTTGCAGAGGCCCCACTTGGAGTTCGGGGACGGTGGGGCCGTCGTTGTCTGCTTTTTTAAGTGGGATCTGATTGGTTGACCACTGAAGCGTATGTATATCGTATCGTAGCCATCATGAGTGCTCTTGGTAGCTTACCTTATATTGTATACATTATTTGTATGATGGACAGTTTGTCAGAATACATAGCAAGAAATAAATATTAGTAAAGAATCAGCACTATTCAGGTGTGCTGATACTCAATGTCTTTTTAAGTTGTTAAATATGAGAGACAAAAATACATATGACTTGACTGCTATTGGCATTTCCTTGTATGATATGGAAGATATCACAACATCCAAGCTCTCATCCACTTGTTTATAAATTCCTGTATAGAGCATACCGTTATTTGAATAAATTATACTTATAAACACTCCGAGTCGAATTTAGTGAGCACTTCCTCCTGACTATCACTGTCATGATAGTGATTGGTTACCCTATTTCCTAGACTGGCAGGTGATCGCCTCACGAGCCTGGGACCATGCATCTACCGGGGTGTTCCGACAATCGGCCCTGCCAAATTCTGGGGGTTCCTTATCACGTCAATATCGTCTTCTATTATCTGCTTTAGAAATCAACTAACAACACCTATCCATTCAATTTGGAGGCGGTCCCTTCGTCTCTTCCTTTATCACTCACCTTGTATTAATACTTCCACCTATTATTTTGCCGCCACGTGGAGTTCAGATATTCCTATGGAAGCTATCATTTCTTAGTACCGACTTGCAGTGACAAAGTTGTTGAGACGACTAGTATGAAGGGCGCGTACTGATTTCTGATACCAAAGAACACATCCCTAACACCAAGATGAAACTCCCGTTCCTATTACTGGCCTCCAGTGTCCATTATGTCTCGTTATCAGCAAGTCCCATATTTGAGGAGTTCTTTTCTCCAGGTGTTGGCACCAGAGGAGCCGTTGCTTCAGAGGCTCAAGAATGTAGCTACATCGGCAGAGACTTATTAGCACGAGGTGTAAGACTTGTTGCCCCTTCTCCATATAAACACACCAACTAACTATCCAGGGAAATGCCGTCGATGCCATGATCGGAACGACCTTCTGTGTTGGTGTTATCGGCATGTACCACTCCGGCATTGGAGGCGGTGGTTTCATGATTGTGCGTGACAAGAAGGGCAACTACGAAGCAATCGACTTCAGAGAATCAGCCCCTGCAGCAGCTTTTGAGGGCATGTACCAAGGAAATGTGAACGGTAGCATCTACGGGGGTCTTTCTGTTGGTGTGCCAGGCGAAGTCCGTGGGTTTGAGTATGCACACAAGAAATACGGTGTATGAACTACAGACACACTGCAAGTTACCACAAGCTAACATTCTAAACAGAGCCTTCCATGGAAAACAGTCTTACAAGGAGCTATTAAGGTGGCTCAAGATGGATTCACAGGTCCGCCCAAGGAGAGTAGAGAGACAAAGAGTTACAAGCTGACAAATGTCAGTCAATGCCGACATGGCAAGATTTATTGAAAAGACTATTAGAGACCATCACAACTTCTTTGTCGAGGATCCCTCATGGGCAGAAGATTTTACCCGAAATGGTATGCTTTTTTTTCTAAACACCCAACGCTAAGACCAGGGCTCACATGTAGTAGGACAGCTTATCCCAGAAGGAGAGAAGATGACAAGACGACGATACGCCCGGTAGGTCGAGGTTCGATGTCAGACTTCAACGTAGCTAACCAAACTAGTACACTTCAAGCTATCGCAGAGCATGGCGCTGACGCCTTCTATACAGGTGCCTTCGGTAAGTTAGACCTGCATCTGAGAACTGAATAGACAATAACATGACACAGCTGAGAGCATGGTCAAGACCATCCAGGAAACAAATGGTACCATAACCCTGGATGACTACAAGAACTACGATGTAATTTCTCGAGAGGTTCTTCACACTGAGTACAAGGGCTACGATGTCTACGGCATCAGCTCTCCAGCCGGTGGCGCCGTGTCACTCAATATCCTGAACATCATGAACGGCTACACCCACCAAGACGAGGATCGAAACACCACACTGCACATCTACATCGAAGCTATGAAGTTCGCATACGGAGCTCGTCTGCACCTTGGCGACCCTGACTTTGTAGATGGCGTTCCTGAGCTTGAACATGAGATGCTCAATGCCACAACAGCAGAAAAGATCAGGAGTAAGATCAATCCTCGAAAGACCCAGAAGATTGAGAAGTATGATCCCGATGGCATCTACTCATCTGATGGGCATGGAACTTCACACGTCGTCACTGCGGATGGCGATGGTATGGCTGTTTCGCTGACCACCACCGTCAACCTCATCTTTGGATCACTCCTCATGGACCCTCTCACTGGTGTGATCCTGTAAGTGTTACCAACCTCTTTCAATTTTGCACTCATGGACTGACTGTCACAGAAACAACGAAATGAATGACTTCTCTATTCCGGGAGTTCCTAATGAGTTTGGTTTCGCACCAGCAGAAGCAAACTTCATTCGTCCAAACAAGCGCCCCTTATCCTCCTGTACACCTCTTATTGTATCCAACAAAGACGGATCTCTCTTTGCTGCCATCGGAGCTGCAGGGGGCTCACGTATTATCTCCGCCACTACTCAAGTTGCGTGGCGTGTATTGACTTCTCCATCGTGGTCTATCAAGGATGCTGTTCGTGAGCCCCGTGTTCACAACCAGCTCATCCCGAATACGCTACTCGTGGAGAAGAAGTTCAGTTCGTATGATGTTCCATCGCTGGTGGAGCGAGGACATAATATCACTTGGGTCGATGAGGGACTGAGTACAGTTCAAGCGCTGACAAGGGACTCAGCTGGTGTTTTTCAGGTCGCTCCTGAACCCAGGCAGAAGAACAGTGGCGGTGTGACATTGTAGACAGCACAGGAAGAGATGGAAGCATACATGTTTATATTCCTGATTGAGCGATCAACACTTGTAGAGGGACACAGCATACGACATAGAACATTGACTAGATTATGCCCAAGCTTTGTGCTTGCTGTATTAATTTCTCTAAGCTGTCTCTTCTCTCGCTAGAATCTTAGAAAGGGGGTATCCTTTAGTCTATCTCCAAAAAGTCTACGCTTTTTGTTTCGCAAGTGACACCAAACGTGCCAACTGAACCGTCCACTTCTTTGCAAACTCCTCCTCGGTGAATCTCTTTGCCGACTCTCTTGCACGCAGACGAAATGCCAGAGGGTCTGGTAGCGACAAAGCCTTCTCGTAGCCCTCTGCAAATTCTTCTTCTGTCGTTGCGTGGAAACCTGTTTCATTGTGTTAGAAAGACCTCGACATAGAATTTTCAGTCAGCTTACCAGTTGGCTGGCCATCGATTGGCACGACGATATCGAATTTGGGCCCAGCACTGTCATGAACCACGGAAATGAGCCCAGCAGCTTGGTATTCAACAACGCCAATTCCGAAGTGCTCATTCCACATGCCGTTGACACCCACAGATGCTCTTCTTAACCAGTCCAGAACATCTGACCATGGGGCATCGAGGTGGAACTTGACACTGTCCTTGATGCCAAGCTCATTAGCAAGAAGTCGCAGCTCGTACACACGCTTTGAGTCTGAGTCATCTCGCACGCTTCCGATCAGAATCAGCTGTGCTCCCTTGGATGCCTCGCTCTTGGTCTTGAGGAAAGTAGCGAATGACCGCATGATGAGTTGGTGGTTCTTTTCTGGTCGAAACTGGGCGAGGTAGACAAGAGCTTTTTCTCTTCGCTTCTCACTCTCTTCGGAAACTTCGACTTCGCGTTCCATTTCTCGGACGGCGGTGGGAGGGTAGACAACTGCGATCGGATCTGTCTTGCTCTTCTGTTTGCGATAGGGGCCCCATAGACTCTTGATGTGGCCTTGAGTCCAGGTAGAGTTTGTCATGACGATATCAACCGTCGAGCCAACCCAAGAGTACAGAATGGCAAAAAGTTTCCAGTAATTCTTCTTGGCGAAACCCTGAGCTCCAGCACCCTTACCAGCATGTGCGCCCTGAGTTCCCGAGGCAGCCGTCGAATCGAGCGAGTCGAGCATGTCGGTAGAAATCGTAGGATAGTGCACATATGCCCCTGTAGGAACCTTGGGGAAGAGAAACTTGCATAGACCGAGAGCGAAGGCGTAGCCCATGGTGTCGACAAAGACATCCGGGACCAGTAGTGAGAAAGCGTCCCAAGCCAAAACGACGGAGCCGATTGATTGGCCGAGCAGCGTGAAATGAGGCCATGTTGAGGGGAGTACCCAGTCTCGTTTGGAGAGGTAGAGGAACGTTATCGTGGGAGCATGGAGCTCAATATTGAATCTTGTCTAACACGGTGTAAGCATGTCGTGGCCCTCAGGGTCAAGTTTTCAGGTCGTATACCTTGACTCGATTCAAGATCGCATCTTTTGTCACATTGTGATCGCCTGTGTATACCACACATTTGGCTTTTGGCCAACGATCTTGTGTGGCCCGAATCGCGGCCCAGAGCACTCGCTCTCCGCCACCTCCAGCATTGCTCCCTCACATTAGCTAGGTCCTACGGTAGCTTATATGACAACATACCAGAACGGATGGAAGAAACCAACGATCCCCGACCAATCCTTTTGTGAGTTCAGAGTGCTTTGAAGATTATCGTCGACGTCGAACACGAGTTTCGTCGCTGCGGTGCCTTGAGGGTCCTTGGCGCGGGCATCTTTATCCTCCTGTGTCATGAGGGCCAGGAGATGTGCACGACGGCCTTCTGTTCGTTTTCGAAGAGACCATCCTAGAAACCGTCGTAGAAGTCCACCTATCAGAGGCAGAGCTATCAGAATGGCCAGAGGCACAAGCGTCGCTAGGGACGCCATCGTCGTGACGGTAGTGTCGGGAAGGCTGTTCGGGGGAGTCGCAGGGGAATCGAGAAGCTATGAAAGACAGGTAAAGAAAATGCTTCGACCAGCGATATTTATATGGCCTCAGGGGCGTGAGGCTGTCAGCTTTTGGTAGCGAAAGGCTACCATGAACGAGAGTGTGTGGGATGATAGTGTGACGTCTCCAGCTGGCCAGACCAGATCTCAAAAAGTTCATCCACTGGGTCTTAGTCTTGGTGGGGGATAGGCACAGGCACCGACACCGCTAGAGGAACCCGAAGCTAAGCTTTTGGACGCTGCTGCAAGCTCCAAAGCTCAGTATCTGACCCACCGTAGCTGCGCAAGCTACAGGGGGGATAGAGGCTCCTGACCCTTGTCACTGGACCCCTTCTTTAAATTCGGCAGCCCGCGGAGAGAACTTATGATAGCTCTGTTCCCCCCAGAAAGTTAGAAAGAAAATCATTTTTAAGAATACGAGATCAAGGATTGAACGGACCAACCAGGGCCCATTCTGCGTTCAACGGAATAATTATGGTCGAGGGCGTTTCCATATTCGATCATAAAGCCACGTCTTCTCAAGAACTCTTTACACAAATCTGCAAGCACTTGTATGAATTGTCATTAATGATCAGTCTTAGCTTTTTTACTGGTTGCTTTATCAACTTATAAAGATATTTACTATAAATATCCAAGGTGAGTCAGAGTGTGGTGTGTAAGGGGATAAGCAAAGTTCATCCTCAAGACTTTCAAGAGGTTTTGAATCATGCTATACAAACGGACTCTGTAAGTTAACACTAGCACTGAGCATTTGATAGTACTTGGATATATAGCGCACTAGTAAATATATTGTTCCTCACTGTTGTCCCGTAGAGTGGTTCTCCCTTGACTACCAGCATACTAATCCAGATATTCAATGCTGAACCGCTAGCGCTGATTGGCTGAGAATCCAGAAAAATAGTCCCAGTTTGACCTCATCTCATGGACTTTTGAGACTCACTCACACCAGCACCAAGCCCTCAATTGCACCCGCACCTACGGTCTTATGGGTCAAAATGTCCCTTCTGAGACGAACGGCCCATTTCATATCGCCTCATGCTAGGCCATCACTCTCAGCCATTAACACAACACGCCGCGTCTCACATCCAGCCATTCTCAGCTCATTAACTTCATCGCCATGCGCCAACCGCAGGAACTTCTCTGTCGCTTCTGCGCTCGGTGAGACAGTCACCGTGACAGCCGATGCCCTCAGCTGGGCTCATGGCGCTGGCGTGCCGTGGTATGTGGCTATACCACTACTTGCTGTGGGCGTCAACGCAACCATCCGATTCCCTCTTCAACTATACAGCGCTCGTTTGCGGGAGGCTAGAAAACCATTGGATCCTCTTATCACAGCTTGGACTCGTCGGCATATGATGGATAGGAGCTTGAACAACCCTGAACTTCCCGATCGTGTGAGATCGCTTCGCGTTGCAGGTGCAGTTGAAAAGTCAAGACGGAGAATATTAAAGACATGGGGTCTCCAGCGTTGGAAAAGTATGGCACCTTTACTTGGAATGGTTCCCTTTGTCACCATATCTGAGGCTCTTCGAAGGAAATGCGGTGCACCCCTGGGTTGGATCAGTCACAAGATTGGCCTGGGTAATACTGGTCTCGGGCCCTCGAGCAGCATGTTTGACCAGTCCTTGGTGGACGGAGGCTTATTCTGGTTCACCGATCTAGCGTCTGCGGACCCTTACTATGGGCTTCCTGCCATCTGCTCGGGTATTCTGGTATGGAGTATATGGGCGAGGATGCCCAAGGAACAAATCCAGGCACTATTGCGAATCCAGCCCTCAGGCTCAAAGATGATGGTCGCCTCCAGGCTACAACAACTTCTGGGCCGTGTCATGCTTATGATGCCCCTACTGCCACTCCTCTTTGCCGATCTGCCAAGCGCTATCTTCCTCTACTGGGGTACATCATTTGCGCTTACCCGCGTCAATGACTTCTTTATTCAACGTCTTGTTCCACCAAAGACATCAGATCTGAGGGCACCCAAGCCATCCAAGGAATTCCCTTTCGTGCTCAAAGACCAATCACGGATTGCAAAGACATCTGACAAAATAAACAATTGATTAAACGTTCATCTGTAACTACCAATGTAGACTCGTGGGGAAAATTCGATGTATAGGTCCCTAGAAAACTCCGATAGACGCCTCAAGAACAAGAACAGGCCACCCATAATCGTCAGACGCTGCGCTCTAAGAATCTAGTCAAGGACAATAGCCAGAATAACAATGGTCAAAATGACGGCGAGGATCAGCAACAGGCAGCAGCTCTTGTTGCGGGCTGCCTTCTGATACCGCGCGGCCTGTCGATTCTCAACATCAGCTTGCCGCGTGTCATCCCGGACGTTCTCAACATTGTCTGCGATCGTCCCAAGCTGCTCTCCCTGCTCATTGACGATTTGCGCCACCTGTCGGAAGAGAACGTTCAAATCGCCTACACCCTGTTCAATATTGCGAATCTCCTCCTCACGCTCGATGATGAGAGCTTCCTGGAAGTCGACTTCGTCTTGGGGTGCGAGCTGGGAGACTTGCTCTTGTTGCAGCTGCTCAAGCTGATTGCCGGACTGGGGACCTTCGGCGGATTCACCCTCCTGTGCGGCACGGGCGGCGGTAACGGATGCGCGCTCCTTCTCGAGGGCTTTTCGCTGGAGGCTTTGGAATTCTTGGAGAGCTGCTTGGAAGTCGCTCGAGACCTTTGTTTGCTCGTACTTTTGTTGTTTCTGCATATAATTAGCATGCGACAACGATCGAGACGCATTTTCATCATAATACCGTCAATTCTTCCCAAGTTTGAAGGCGCTTAACGCCCTCGCCGATCTCTCTGCACATATCCCTCGTCTTATCCATGCTATTGTGAACTCGCTCCCGCAGGCGCGGGGTATCCTTACGTGTGCCGAGAACATTGACATCGTTGGCGAGTTTTCGATTGTTGCTGAGGAGGGCTTGAAGCTTGCTCTTGAGGTCGTATTGAAGGGCTTGGAAATCAGGGTCATCGCTATAGCCGGCGCCGCCGCGCCCGGATTCTAGATCGTACGACATGTTTGTTGTGATGATGTAAGGTCGAGGAAGAGTTGCGTGGATGGAGGCTGGGCCTTGACTATCGACTTCAGCCGGAAAAGTGGGTCGGGACAACCTACGTACCTAAGGTAAGTCTGGTCTAAATACAGAGGACCTTAGGGAGAATAAGAAAAGATCCTAGGACTTTGACCCTAAGAGATGAAAATATTTAGGTACCTAGTTTAGCCTAAGTTTAGGAGGCTCTTTGCTGAGTTTATTTGGGCATCTTCTTCTATTGTCTCGAGTTTTCTTGTTCCCCTAAGCCCGGTCTACGGGCAAGCAGAGTCACTAGCCAAAGAAGATGGCTGGTTTTTGTTGATACAAAACAAGAAATGAATGTGAACGGAAAAGTCAACTCAGGCGTTTTGATCAAGAACTCACTTGCGGTCGAGAATATCCTCCAAAACGTTGGGGAACAAGAGGGAGCGAGACACCAGACCTGCTGCCTGGTTCCAGTACGGTTTCGTTAGTAGATCTTAGGACTAAGTGATAGAAATACTTAGGTACCTTAGCCTAAGCTTAGGGGACCTTTTACTGAGTCTATTTTGACAGCTTCTTCTAATTATTGTCTAAAGCTTTCTTGTTTTGCTGCCTTGTTCTGAGGTGGCTGAGGTTTCATTAGTAGGTAGTTACGGATACAGCGCCATGCAAACATACGTAATTGGACATGCGTCTCAGTCTAGCCAACCAGAGCGGAGCCGGACCTGGTGCTATCAGCACGTGACAGATAATGACGGAGCTTGGACCTTAGCGTTTCTGCGATCGAGTCGTTGCTGGTTGGAGATTTTTATTATTTACTTGGGGCTTGAGCTTAGAGCTTCCATTGTTAGTCTCTTTGAATCAATCCACGACATCATCGCCCAACAACGTCTAGAGGCCTTCTTTATCTCGGGGATGCGCTGTCGAGATGGCGCCTACCACGGTTAGAAAAGCGCCTTACAAGGACTTCCTACAGCCTGCTCTTCACAGACGATTCACTTCTACGGCGACTGTTTTGCTGCTCGTGTCCTATTTGTTGGCGGTCGTCCTGGACAGCTGGAAATCTTGTAAGTCGGATTCATTTGGATCTTCATCTGCGCCAACACTAAATCTCATTGTTTAGACTTTTGGTCTTGGTTTCCCATTGGCCCTGTTGGTGTACGAACCCTCTTCATCTTCACATGTGGCCTTGCGATCGTCGTTCTCCGAATAGCAAACTACCACGTTGGCCTACGAACCACTGGCCCTGGCTTTCAGACCCTTCGCAACACAATCACTCAGCTTCAAACATACGAGACTTTGTTTTGGTATGGCTTCTCCAGCCTGCTGTTTAGCCATGTGTTCCTATGGGCAATGCCCAAGGCGGCCAACCTCTCTTGGATCACGTACTTCAGCGGTGACCGTGCGAGACTGAACGAGAGACCGCTGTTCTTGCTTGCGTACATGGTCTCATGTGCCATCACGCAAACCTTCAATCATTACCGAAAGGACACCGATCGTCTGGTCCTGGCATCGTCAAAGGGCAAGAACGAGAAGCAGCCTGACGCGTTGAAGCTCCTGATTACTGCAGTCCCAGCAACATTTGGCGCTTCTCTTTCCGGTGCTGCAAGTGCGCTGCCTGTCGCCCTGATTCTATACTACACCATACTGCGATCTTTCATCTGGGGATGGGCGCTTATGTTCTTGCGCATCTTCTATAACCTGCCAAAGACCAACATGCTCCCGCCTAGTTGGCCGAGTGATCTTTGGCTTCTTTTCCGATGCATAGAGGCTGGAACTTTCGTGCATTTGATATGGAATATTGGTAACTTTGCTTTCTCGAAATTCATGGTCAAGGAGCCCCTGAAGAATGGCAAGCCTCTTACCTCTGAGTCCAAGGACCCCAATGGCAGTCTTCTGAACGGTCTTAAGAGCAAGAAACTCTCTATCAAGGTGAGATTTGTCACACACGCGCGTCGAGCAGTCATTTCTAATCGTATCTAGGCATTTGCGATGTGGGAGCTTGCAATCATTGCGCAAGGCTTTGAGACCCGTCGACAGGCCATCTACGAAGACATCGATCGTAAGGATGGACCTATGTGGTCCCAGGTCTACGCCATCTGTATGGAAGTGGTCAAGTCCATCGAGACGCGAATTGATACCTACGGTAAAGCTCCTGATGCACCACCCGCTGCGCCGGCTCCGGAGCCCAAGCAGCGAGTATCCGCTCCTCTTCGCGACGATCCCATCTTTAACAGTCGAGGGACTTCCAAGACGATGCTCAGTGAGGTTGAGAAGCGATTAGGACAGTCCGCACTATCTCCTGGCGAGTCTCCTATGTCCAACTTGAGCCCTATCGCAAAGAAGACATGGAAAGAGGCCAAGGACCGGGTCTTGACGAAGGAGCAGCAGGAACTTGTTGCTCCCGATCACATAAAGAGCCAATTTGAACACTGGACTCTCCAAATGATGGAGGTAGACACTGTGGCTGCCCTTTTCCAGCAAGATTTCCGAACCCAATTTGCTGCTGCGGTGCTGGGTACTCCATACGCTGAGCCTACGCTTTGCATCAATGCGATCAACGTGCTTCACCATCTATCAGTGCACAGCTTGGCAGAAGATCAATTTGGTAATGTGCACAGAGATGTGCCAAGCATTATCCGAACCTTCACATCAGTAATCAAGAAACTGGAGGCCTTCCGCCTGCAGTTCCCACTGCACTGGACTGATGTGTCGGGTAAGAGGATCAGCCCCGAGGTGGAAGAAGTTGTGGAAGCTCTGAAGACTGCTTTGCAACAGGTGCTGGGCAAGTTCGAGCCTTATAGCAGCGACCTTAGACTGACACTTACTGATATTCGCTTGGCCAAGGAGGCTTCTGCGACTTCAAAAAAGTCTGAGATGGCAGAAGTGGTGCGATAGGTCAAAGGACGTAAAACACAGGCATATCGGGAAGGATATTAATGTATTATGATACCATTGTAACAGTTTGGAACACGATAAAAGCAGTCAGCAATTATTCCATCCATGGATCCAATAATAGTATGTATTTATTGCAGGAGCTTCATATGTTGAAGCTAATGCAGTGCAATTAAAGATGGTGGGGCCGCCGTTATACCGTACCAAAACACAGTGCCCGTACTCAAAACACACTGTAGCTCCAAGGGTGCTCGCCAACTGCCAACCTCTTCCTGTCCAACTCTGGTTACATCAATCGCATCATCACCAAATAGGTCCGCCTTTTGGACATGCCATTCTCAACCCAACCCCCTCAACAACTACAGTGACACCATTTACTCACTGTAGCATCTTCATTCACTCGTTCAGCTTCTTCTTTAACCTAGTCATGTCCCACTCTTCGTCCCTTTTCTTATTATACTCACGATCCCGGTCATAGCGGCCTTTGGTAGCATCGCAGCGCATTCGCAACTGCAGCTTTCTCGTGCCCATGGACTAGGAATATGGCGTCTCCCGTTTCTCATCGCCGGCTTGTCGCATCTATCGTTTATCGAACTCTCTACCTTCTTCTCTACGTCTGTCTGCTAGGACTGCTAATATCCACCCCTGCCGACGCCATTCATCGCTCGTTCCAAAATCGACAGCTCTACAACATCTGGATCGTCGCTGCCGCCTACGTTCTCGCCATTGTCATTATTTCCTTCGTCTTTATCACCCGTCTATACATCAACAAGACCGATCTTGGGTCGATACCGAAAGGATGGGTACCAATCGAGAAGGGGGATCTTCGCTCGGCTGTCTATAAAGTAATTGCGCTGGGTCTTGGGCGAAGTGCATCGATCGCATACGAATCGCGCCCCAGGCTTCAAACAGACAACACGGCACCGGATGATGAAACTGTCGAAACAAGGGTTAAGCTGGGTTTTGATGGTCCTGGCGGTCCGGCGGAGGAGTTGGTGGTGGTGATCCCTCGTAAAAAGCCTGTTTGGGGAGACATCGAACATTATGGATGGTCTTCACCCAACGCTCCGGATTTACCGAACCTCGAGTACAACACTGTCTTCTCAGAACTGCCTAATTTGATCGAGGGCAAAGCTTTGACTCTTGCGCCTCCTGACCCGACCTCCGATACGAACCCGCCTCTGCTGGACCCAGACGCTGTAGCTCTTCTGCAGCGAACCGCCAATATGAGCCTGCGCGATTACGTAGTTCACCTGGCTGAATTGGGGGTGATCGAGATGGATTCAACCACTATCGAGTTTCTTTCACACTATGAGTATGCACGCTTCTCGAATCGACCAATTTCCAATGCTCAGTTTAAGGAGCTTATGCATCTTTTTGCCGAGATTCTTCGCGCCATGGAACCCCTGGATCCAGATGTTTTGGACGAGCAAGACGATGCGTCTTCACCCTCTACCGATGGCGATGACGATACTAGATCAAGGCTGGGCACGTCTCGCAGTAATCTGGCTCCCTCCGACGCTAGCATCAGCAGCTCTGCTCGAATACGGCGCCAACCATCCACGAATACCTGGAACGTTTATGAGACTGCTCCTAACAGCGTGAGGAGTGGATTTACCGGGCCAGGGTCCATATCACGAAGACTTAGCAATAATAGTCTTGCTCGAAGTCGGCGTCATTACCCCATGAGCCAGCCATCAACCTCCAGCCTTCGATCCAAATCATCAGCTAGCTCGGGGTCTGTTATTCGACTTGCGACACGGCACGACTCAACAGACCTGCCTTACGTCCTCAGCTTGAGAGATACGACGGCTAGCTACTAATGACTTGTTTTGGAGGGGCCGGCGATTGGTATGGCTTTTTACGTTTATGAATTTATGACCCAAAGTATTATCACAGTTACAGGATAGAGATTGTGTAATTTCCTAATCTTAGTTAATTCGAGTATATATCTTCCAAAACTATTATACAAGGCAGTAAATATTGAAGCATATTTCCTTTAATCATAGCATGTTACGAATTGAACTCTCTTGTTGAAGTCGAACTTCCCATCAGGGGCGATAAGATAAGCATCCGCATTTTTTGTCGCATGTGAAATTATTCTGCCAGATACTCTCCACCAACCCCAAACATCACCAATCCTGGCCACCTGAAGCAATGATAAATTAACTCTCGCAATATCCCTAATTACTTCAAGGCACTTCTCTACACGATCTCCTTCGGATTGCGTGCACCAGCATTACTACAACTGATCGCGACAAAAGATACAATGGCACCTGAAGCCCCCCAACCTTTCCCCGTCGCAACAAACCGCGATGCAATCGCAAACACTCTTTCACTGCTCCTCGCCTCCAGGACGTCCATAGGAAAATCGATGCCCCTTACTCGTGATTTACCGCGCAAGCAACGCACTCTACCAGACAACAACGATGAGGATCTCGCTCGCGGCGCACGACCAAACGAAGGATTAGGCTATGTTCCAGAGAAGAAAGACGTTCAAAAGTTTGCAAACTCAAAAGAGGAGAGAATGCTAAGGGGCAGGTTGAACAAAGATGCCAAGGGCAATCTGAAGAAGAAGGCTGAGGAGAGCGAGAGCGAAGATGAAGCTGGACGAAGTGCGCTAGGCAAAAGAAAGAGGCCCCGGAAGGAGAAGGAGAAGGAGGTTGAACCGGAGCCGGAGGCTGGCGATCAGACTTCTCCTGTTACACCTGAGAATAAGGAGACGAACGAAAACGGGGGAGAGGTCGAGGTGGATGCGGATGCGGATATGAAAGACGCTGTAACACAGGATGAACCTATTTTGGGCGGTGGGCAGACAGAAAAGAAGCGGAAGAAGAAGAGCAAGAACAAGAAAAACAAGAAACAAAAGACCGCACCTGGGGTAACAGGGGGAGAGGCATAGGCATAGGCATAACGTTTATATCAGTTTTATATCAAGATACCCAGAATACACGCAGAGAGAGTTGACGACATCATTTCACAGAAAAGGGAGATGACAGGATCAAATTTAACTTGCTTAGAATAATATTGTCTTCTGATGGTATATACATGCACCCACCATGCAACTCCTCCCAAGAATTCAACTTCCGTCTCTTAGGTGTGCCGAAATCTGCCCCCTTCCTTTCGGCGAGGACTAATGATTTCCATGGGACTAAACAAAATGCCCGCCATGGTATCCTGCTATGCTTTGCGCTCGTAATGAAGAAAGCCTCCGTGACCGTGTTCTAGCCAGCTATCCGATGTCCTCCTATACTCCAAGTAGGCGGTCTCTTCGCCATCAAAATCCAAAGTATGTTTATGGCCTAATGTAATGCCGATGAAGGGAAAGTAAGTATCCATGTACAGAGCCCGTGTATGTGTATGTACGTATGTGATGTGTTGAATTTCGTCGTCCATGGTTCGGGTTTCAAGAGCCCACAGTAAAATCAGGGTTAAATGTGTGATTATTTACTGCATTCGCTTTCGCTTCCTGTCATCGTCACCTCGGGGGTCCTCATCCTCGTCTGATCGCTCGGCAGTGTCACTGGGATTGAGGATATGAGCCATGCTCCCCCTTCGAGTAGGGGGAGCTGAATGATCTTTCACGGCAAGGTTCTTGTTCTCACGGCCAGCAGATCCCCACGACCAGCCACCGAATGTATCAGAGCCACCGCCAGCGCCATTTGCAAATGGAGGTGGTGGCGTTGTTGGGCGTGAGTGAGGGTGTGTTTGGGACGCAGCTTGCAACGAGTACGTTGAAAATGAGTCTCTGATCCGTTGGTCTTCTGGGGCTACACGGCTAGGCGAAGGGGGCCATGCTCCAGAGGGTGCGCCAGTGCTGAAGGGAGATGGTGCTGGCTGCCAGCCATGGGCTCGAATATCGGCTGCAGTGTGACGGCGGGCCAGACTGCCGGGGCCGGGAACAGTCTCAACATTGGATAGAGGGTGAGGAGCAGGAGGCGGCGGTGGCGGTCCTGTACGTAACGGGGACGACTGCGTAGTACTGCTTCCGCTGATGGAGCCATATGGCCTGCGAGTGCTGCCAGATAGGTTGGAAGGAACTGGTGGCTTATAAAAGTTCTGGCCGCGTGCAGGGGGGACGCCTAGAGCAGGGCCTCGTCTCTGGTCGTCCTGGGCAAGCTGTCTGGGTGATACTGGGGCGTTCTCAACATTCGCAAAATATTGTTGTCGGCCGGTGTAAGGTGCCTCCTGGGGTGGTTCGTCGAGTGTCCGAAGTACTTCAGCCTGCCTTTGCATTTCGCCTTGTAGAATAATGACTTACGTCAACGTTAGCTATCGTTCGAGATTTCGTCTAGTAACACACACCTTCACGAGAGAGGGGACTCTCAGCCGGAACAAGAGACAGCATATGTCTTGAAAGCTCTTGATTGAAGTGAAGAAGTCGATTCACCGTGTCCATTGCGGCTTGGCTCTTGACATGCATATAATGAGCTGCCTCTTCGCTCCTCTGCAGGCGATTACTCAAGTCGAAGAGCGTATGCTCAATATTGAGCATTCGAGCATCAGCGCTGTCAGGCGGGATAGGTACAGGCTCGGCTGGAGTGCCTGGCTGGGATGCTACAGGTTTGGTATAGTTGCTCTCGCGGTGGACCAAAGCATGTCGACTGGCTCGGCGCTTGATCTCACGTAGTCCTACTAGGTCGCCGCGCTTGAAGTTACCGTTGCCATGCTTGAATTCCCAGAGAGTTGTATCAGGGTTTCCAGTGTGGAAAACGTCGCGTTCTTTGCGCAAGTTAGCCAATGCGATTACTCACAATTCGTGTGTGTGTTCTAGTACTCACCCTTGTGAAAACCGTACATGTTCAGCTGTCTCACGAATGATGAGATATTGGTATGTTTGAAATATTGACTAGAAGGCATTAGTCGATTGCAAAGTAGCCAGTTTATGGAAGTATTGGACGCACGAGAGAACTTTTGAGAAGTCGGCCGACGGCGACATGACGAAGCTTTCAGCGCTTGCAGACCATGAAATCAAGTGTTGAATGTTGGGATCTTCCAGCATGCTGTCGCTACGTTAGCAAGCTATCGTGAAGAGCTTGGCGGCGCAGTCTCACTTGTAGAGCTTATGAATGAAGGCTGTCTGTACGATTTTAGGCTGGTGTACAGCAGCAGCAGCCGGCGGGGGCGCAGGCATGCTATTGGAATTATTGGCATTATTGTTTGCGACGTTGTTGGAATCGGGAGCGGGAGAGTTCTTGGGTCGATCGTTGGATTTGCCGTTGGCATCGGAGTCGGAGTTGTTGTTGCCAGTAGAAGATGGCGCAGGTGATGTGATCTCCATGGGATCGCCGTTGCTTGGAGGAGACATCTTGATCGTAGGAGTTGGTATAGGAATAATGCGAGCACCCATTGACTCGCTATGGGGAATTGGATTCGAATGTGGGAAGGTCTCAGTCCTGACGGCCATGTGCGCTGTAGCCATGATGATTAGTCGACAAGAAGGGTCATGTATGTACAGATGAGCCGGGATCAGGGTCGACAGTGCTTGCTATCTCTTGAAGAAACGAAAGATGCAAAGAGAAGCGAACAACAAGCGAGGACGGAAGGAAACGGGGTGGTTAAAGGATGGAGTACATAAGGTAGATGTTGGCAAGGAAAGTAAAGTAGGTAGGAGGGTGAACGCAAGGCCGGCCGATGGGGGTGTGAAGGAATGAGGGTGTGCAGCGGCTAAACTTTGAGACGACAACGTAGGAAAGGAAAAGAGTAAGGTGAGGTAAGGTAAAGCTTTGTAAAGGGAAGAGAACCCGGAGACAGAGACGGTATCGCGGATGCGAGACTGTGGATCACAAGCCGAGAGACAACGGGGGAGGAGGCGATGGAGAGTGGTAGCGGAGTCGGGATCGGAGCCGGTCTTGAAAGAGATATGTATGTGCCATACTGTGCATGAGATAGGCAACTTGCGACGTGATGCGATACAATGCGATCAATGGGCGCGGAATGGACTGTGCAGACACAACAGAGTGAAATCTTCAAAGGCTTACCTCATTCTCAGGGCGCAAAAACGAGTCAGTGGTTGATGTCGCGCAGCGCAGCTCAACTCAGCCCAAGTCTGTTCAAGCGCTTCCCGGCGTTGGTAGGCGAAATGCGCAGTCCTGGGCTTGGGAAAGAGAAAGGTGACAGGAAAAGACAGGCGAACGAACGACAGAATGGGATGTGGTAATAGCCCAGACAAGAACGGCGATTTGCAGCTGGGCCCGCCAGGTTCTTCTTGGTCGATGGTTGAATTGGTTAGACTGGCCAAGACCACAAGCTCTCAAACCCCAAGCCAAGTGCTTTAGGGAGGTCGGTCACTAAGGTTAGTGTTGGTTTTAGGTGACACCCTGGTTAGGATAGTTGCTGCTGATCAGCCTCGCATAGGGGCCTTTTCAGGGCTCTCGTCCACCTTCTAGAAGGCGGGGGGGAGGGAAGGCGAGATTTGTCGCTGAGTCTATCTTGGCACCTCAGCCAGATGATAGGTTGCTCGGACAAAGGGCAAAACCACTGCAGGGACGTAAAGATAGACGAAACACTGGACAGATCCCTGATAGCGTTCGATACAGCTCGGCGATGCCGCGATGATCAAACGTTTTGGCTGACTTGATGAAGAAGTCTTAAGCTAGGTTTGGTTCAACCCTGGAGTCGAAGCTGTCCCGTCCAGTAATGCTCAACTGACGAATCGTCAGGGCTGCTGCTAGCAATGACACCTACGTGGGAACAAGCGGGGAGAGCTCTCAGTTCAGGACAGGGCCGATGAAAAGATTGGCGAGGCGGTCGGAGTAGGTAAAGGGCTGAGCGCCAGAAAACAGAAAACAGCTTCTGTGCACTGTGAAGGAACAGACGGGAATGTACCTGCTGGTGGGTAGTGAAAGTGGTTGCACGGCAGTTTAGGTAGGGAGCAAAGACGTTCTAGCTAAACCCGAGTCAATGGTTATATGTGATGATAGGAAAGTTGCCAGGTACTGTTGAATGAAGGTCTCGAAAAAGACAGAACGAAAGACAGGAGGAGGGGAGGAGAGAAAGAATCCAGGCAAGCTGCTGGCAGGACTGATTTCTTTTTCTGGAACTGCAAGGAATCCGATGCGATCAATATCAACTGGATCCATGCGCCGGGGTTGGAAATTTGGGGGCATGGCTAGCAAGGAGTCCATGGAGATAGAATGGGGATGGGGATGACACTCATGGCTACCTACGGAGGAGAGCAGGTTAGCCCAGCTGAGATCCAATCGAAAGCAATGAGTTGAGTCTCCAAGAGAAGCCCACCCACACCAACTCCAGCCTCTGGCCTTCTAGGCACCCCCTCACCCGCATGGGCATGCATCGATTGTTGCACCCTCTCCTTCAGACCCTTACCTTATACTCACTCCAGACGTCCCACGCCCAGGAACGGACTTTACAAAGTACGGCAGCTTGGTTTCTCATGCTATCACCGTTTGGAACAAATTTGAACTGCAGTGACAAGCTGAAAGACAGAGGTCTCACTTCTGCCAAATGCAGCCATCCGTGGTTCTGGATCACTGCCCCAAGTAATGGCATAATCCATCATGGCCTCATCATTGGAATGAAGTTCCAGCGCCCAGGCTGAAGGAACTCATCAATCGTCTCAGTGCGACAACCAAGACTTTGACATGTCTAGTAGATGGAACAATGGTAGAAGCCAGTATAGCGCCGCCAAGATCAACACCCGCTTACACAGTCCCCGAAATCTAGTGGCGGCTTCAGCGACAGATCTGGGATAAAGAACCCGTCAGAGAAAGTTGCTCCAAACGGTACCGGAGATGGTAAGATAAAGCTTACCTGAAGAAGGGCCCGGAACATTCAACATCCTTTCTACGACGCCATGCCGCTGCTCTCATACATGGTGTGGCAGCCTGGCGTCTGGAAACGCCGGGAGGCAAAGTGCGATGTGTGGCGCCCAGCCTCGAT